TTATAAATTAATAATAGAAAGTAATAATAATTTGTGAAAATGATATGAATTTTTTATAAGGAATATTCTACATCATATTATATGTGAGAAATTTCTCGAATGATCTAATTAAAGTATAAATAACATGACAAAAAATATTAAATATCTATTATGTATATAGTCTGTGCTCGAAGCATAAGAAAACTAGATGGCGTGGATTGAAATGCATGAAGAGCGCAGGTGTCAACTCAAAACAACAATACTATATGACTATGAATCAGTTTGCAAGTATACGGGTGGGAGTCGTATGCGTCAGCAACAGGTTGTCAAGTCCGAGAACATGTTCTCATGTTTTCTGTTTTCAACGTAAATTGAATTCGAAAAAGCGGGAGTTATGCAGACGTGCAAATTTGTTCATTAAAGTTTGGAAATAAGCTCGTTATATTCAGTGCGACGAGTTAATGACAATTTTATTAATGATGAGTGTGATACAAAGGCATACATTAAATATTTTATTTCTTGGAAATAGCAGATGATATCAAAATAATATTGACGCGTAAATTACTCATTTAGTTCTAAAAAAAAATTTTATTAAAAACTGAGAAGCTATTTCTTTTTATATATTTTTACGACGAATTGTGCAATCTCAATTACTACAATTTAAAACTTATTTTAAGAATAAGAATTGTGTAAACAATATTTTCATTGACCAAATTTCTTCACAAATGTACGTATTTCATTCAGAAATTTCTTGCTATGATTATTTTCATGGAAAATTCCATGAGAAGGTTAGATGCTTTTATCTATTTTTTTGAAAATTTTTGTTCGTGATTCTATTTACATGTGTGTATGTTTTTTTTATCTTAAACTTTGACAAGTATATTTTATATAATATAATTTATTTGATATTTTTTTAATTCGTTTGTCGTGCCATCTTATTTCAACACTAATTGTTTGAATGTGTCAGCAATACTTCCTCGAGGCGGTGTGTATGTTAATTTGATTTGCGTCCTACTTTAAAACGTAGATTATAAACTAATGAAAAAAAGATCGATATGCGAATCAGAATTGTTGTAAAGAAAATAAAAATGTTTCTTTATTAATTAATATTTTTTTTACAAATATTGATGTAAAAAAATGTTTTAAAAAACTTTTTTTAGATAAAACTGAATTAAAATTTTGAATTAAAATTTGAATATTTTTTTTATTTTTTCCAGATATTCAAAAAAAATTTTTTAAATTACAGATAAATAAAACTAGATATATGTAATAAATTTAGAAATCATGGAGAGAGCACATACTACATATATAGGAAGTGAAAATCATTTTTTAGACTATTGGGAAGAATATCAAAAGATGATGGAAGAAACCAAGTTATTGGATGATTATCTTGAAGAAGAATGTCCACGTAACTATGATGGTATGCATTTTCTTTTTAGTATTTATTTTTTTTTAATTAATTTTGATTAAAAAAGAAAATTGACTTTTCAAAGATGGTGAAGAAGAAGCTGAATGGTTACGTACAGCTGGTTTAGGACAATTAACGGAAGCATGGAAGGCAGGAAGAGAAGTACAACCAGATGAATTGGGTGCAGCATTACGTCCTTTGTCTCGAGCACAAGCTGAAGCAGTAAAACGTCGTGTTAGATCACTTAATCATACAGTGAAACATCGTTTTAATCAACGACAACGCGTTCGAAAACCAGATATTAGAGATGTTTTCAAAGATGTGGAGGTACAAATCAGATTATATAATTATTAAAAGTAATATTAAAAATTAAATTATTTTTTATTAACGCATCGTTAGGCGTCTAGTACCGGGACGAGATCACGTAGTGCTACACCTGATTCCTTAGATTCTGCAATAGATGCAATACCGGAAAATGTTTCGTCAACGCCTCCATCGTTGACAACGGTTGCCATTATGGACGGTCACCATACAAAGTAAGATTTGTTCATTATTTATTTCCATTATGATATTTATAAATATATGTTAATCGTATTTTACATTTTGAGTAACACTACTGTTCCAAACTTTGTATCGGTGTTTGAACAAGTACCAAATGAATGTAAAGAAACGATACGTAGAATGCCAAGTGCACCATCGACGATCGACACAGTGGTAGAACAGTCGGTAACTTCATTGCCTATTCAAGAGATTTTTAGACGTGCTGGAAATTGGTTACGAGGTGATGTTGCTAACGATTCAGGTATTGATAATCCATTTTTAAAAACTATTTTTAACGTATTTGTGATTTTACATAGATGAATACATTACATACATTTGTAGAAGGAATTCAATTAACAAGCTATCATAGGTTAGGAACGATACATGTTTCAAAACCTAGTATTCAAAGACGAAGCGGAAGTGATCCTAGCGAAGTAGCGAATGTAACAACTTTAGGCGAGGGTATTGAAAAATTGAATACTTCAAAAGATTCGACTTTGAGGTGTGATTCAAAATTCTAACCTCTTTTTGTATGAAGTTTGAGGAATATCATCTTTATTAAAAATATATATGGACACGTAAAATTTTAGAAGAAACTCCGGTAGTCATGCAACGGTAACACGAAGTCATAGTAGCTTATATGGGTTAACGAGGCCAGCCGATGAACGTTTAATAACACATCCGTTAAATCGTACATCTTCTCATGGTCACTTAAGTTTCGAGGAAATGTGTAGAGGAAATGAAATAAAGTCAAAAGTATGGAATTCGGAAGTTATAGCTCCACCTGATGATATACAGACTCGATTAGGAATAGAAATGCTTACGCAACGAGATTTGACCAAATTACAACCATTATTATGGCTTGAACTTACCGCGGTGTTTGACAAATATAACGTACCATTAAAAAAACGTAAACCAAATAAACGTCGAACAAAAGGTTTGTAGAATCTTTATAAAATTAAAATTATTATTAAGATGTTGAAAATTATTTAACAATATTATTCGTAGCTGGAAATCTATTCGGAGTTTCATTGTCAACTCTTTTACTTCGAGATAGTCAATTATCGTCCGAGGAGAGTAATATTCCACTAATATTTCAAAAGCTCTTTAACGAATTAACGAGACGCGGGGTTAAAGAAGAGGGTATTCTTCGCGTTGGAGGACATAAGCAGAAAGTACAAATTTAAATTACAAAAGAAATTCAATACGTTTTCGAATGAATAATTATTGTTGTTTTGTTCAGGTCGAATCAATATGCATGCAGCTGGAAACGGATTTCTATTGCAAACCTAAAGAAATAGATAAGTTGTTTAAACATATGTCGTGCCACGATTTGTCAGCAGTTCTGAAAAAATTGCTGCGCGATCTACCGCAACCATTGCTTACTGTAGAGCTTATCGATGCTTTCTACCAAAGTCACGGTAAGTTATGTGTTTAAATAAGAAAACATTAAAACGATTAGGTGATTGATTATGATTTGTTTGATTTGATACATCAGAATCAGATATGATTTTAAAGTGCATGAATTTATTTCGATATAAATATTTTGTAGTATTTTTTAAAATATAAATCTCTATTTTATTTCCGTATACACAGGAGTGAAAGATCATCAAGAATTGTCATATGCTTTAAATTTGCTGGTGTTATTGCTTCCGATAGAACATCGTTGTACTTTGAAGGCGTTGATTAAATTCTTGAAACTGATTGTGGAAAATCAAGCGTCAAATAAAATGTCGATTCATAATGTAGCGATGATAGTGGCACCATCTTTATTTCCACCACGATATATTCATTCTCGTGATCGTACCGATTTGTGCGCACAAGTTAATATGGCTGCCATATGCTGCCAAGTGACGGAAGCTCTTCTCATTAACGCGAATAAATTGTGGTATGTACCAAACGATCTCTTGAATCAATTACGCAGACATTCCGAAGAAGAAAGATATCGAAAGTATAAAAAAAAATTTTATTAACATTGACATTCGTGATATCAAGAAATTTATACATGATTGATACGGTTTGCGCGAACACGTTCTCATTTCTATACATATAAACATTTAATGATATTCAATAAAATTTCGAAAAAAAGAAAAAAGAAAAAAAAAGAAAGAAAAAAGAAGTTAATTTAAAAGGAGTTAATATAATTTTGAGGTTAGCGTAATAAGTTAGTTGATAAACAGTTGTGAGAGGATATTATCTTCCGTCAATTAAATTATAATCGTACGACATAGTTTCGATATGCAAATTTCGTGATGATATAAAATTAGTTGGTTACTTGTTAATTAATGATGTGATCAATTTTATTAATTTACTACGCATCTTGAGATACAACGAGAAATTTTGTGGATCTTTGGATGTTGATGAAAATAAGTTTAACATTCATAAGATAGGTGATTCGAAAATAAAATATTAATCGTTAAAAGAAAGTTTTCAATTATCAATTTCGTTTTCAATTAACTAATCCGTTTTCCATGATTGAATTTGAACGTGCGCGCATAATATAAAGTTTTCAATACAACAATAATTCGATATCATCGAACATTGGTGCTAGATGCAAATATGAAAACATAGATAATTTAAAAAATTCGCAGATTATTATGCAGTAGCACAACTCACCTTTCAAATATCTATTGTGTGAATATTCTAATTTATTATTAACAATTAAGCAAATGTGTGTGAAGCCTTTACGATTTGTAGCATATAGCTATACATTTGTATTACTTTTTTATCTATAAATGTATATCGATAATTTATGTAGCTCATTTAATTTTACTCCAAATCAAACAAAACGAAGGAAAAAGCATATAAAGAATCATCGCAAACTTTTATTAAAAGTTGATATGCTTCTTTCTCGTGTTTTTTAATGCGCCATATTATTATAAATAATTGTATATATTATGCAAGGTAAGATTGTTACATTATGTCAATAAAGTGCCAAAGAAAATAAAAACCAATCACAATTTCTTCATTCAATGTTCGTTTTTTACTCAATTGAATTGATATTGTATTATGTTAAATATGTAAATTATATGTGTAAAAAAGTGAGGTTAAAGAAATTAAAATATATATATTAATTATTTCAATAATGATGAGTGAATACATCGAGAACATTACATCAAAATTGTATTCGATTAAGATATTCGCGATATACGATAAAGTTCAAAAAGAAAAAAATTAAGAAAAATAGTTATATAATTATGACTAGATTTCTATGAAAGAAAAAAAGAAATAGAATCAACGCACAGACGCGATTATTTTTTCAAGATCAATGTCTCCAATAATAGGTGCAAAAAGATCGTTGGCTAATTTCCGGGGACAGGAAGCAGTCAAAATAGGAAGAACGAGCATAAGTTTGGCCACTCTGACTGATGATTCAGTTTTACCAGCAAGATGCCGAGCCAGAATTTCCACCGCGGTGTCCATTGCTCGTGATGTTAAACGAATGCCATTCATTGTTTCAGCGATTTCTGGATTTTGATAAAAAAAAAAAAAAAAAAAAGAAAAAAAGAAAAGAAAACTTTATAAAAGAGGACAGGAATAAAAAGGGGCGGTGTTCGATCGCGAAGAAGTAAGGACGATAGTGTTATGCATAAAAGTAATTAATTACCGGGTCGACAGAGAATCAAGGTTTCCAGAACCGAGAACTCGATTCGATCAGGTTGTAAGCTAGAGATGACGGCTCTTGCCGCGAATATAGCATCATGCACGGTGTCATCATTGGATGTGCTCGTATTTCGAAAATTGGTCAGATCGATCGGCCAGATCGCGGCTCGTAGAACAAACGCCGCAGCCCATCCTCTTCGAAGAATTTTATTCTGTTCCTCCAGATCGAGCATAGAAAATTCTCGATGTTGTCGAGCAGCTAGGACAGTCGCGAAGAATATCCGAGCCGCGATTTCATATCGTATCGTATCTCCTAGAAGTAATTTTATTAGCCATCCTCTACTATACGTACTAACTTTTTCCTTTTCTATTCACATATGGAAGAAAAGAAAAAGATTCGAGAACGATGGGATACGAAGACTTCCATTACCGGTAGAAAGAATCTTAGGAGATCGAGGAGGAGAATAGATTTGTCTGGTCGATGAAGAAGAGATTCCGGCGGTATTGACGTTAACGTTGCTCGTGTGGTATCGCATCATTATATTCTTTGTTGTTAAAATGGGCGTTGCGATTCCTGGTTCCGACGAGGAAAGAGATACCGGTGGTGGCAGTGGCGTCGGTGGTGACGACGAAATGCGAAAGAAATCGCGAGCGACGGCTGCGATCTTGGTTCGAACGCGTGGCCCTCTCTCTTCTTGAACGGCTGAGCAAAAGATAAATGAAGTAACGAGAAGTATTTTATTGAATAAACGATCGTGAATTGACGTTGGATCATCGAAAGATCACAACGATAATGTTGCGACGGCGTGGATAAAAATAATTGGTCAGGTTGAAATTGTTCTGTCAACGCGAAGGGGACTTCCGACACGCGGTGTTGTTTACATCTCGTTTAACTCTATGATTACGTATACATAGATTGCACTCACGATCGAACTCGATTCGGTTTACTTACCTGCCGTGTTCATGCCAACGGTAAAGCACTTCTTCAGGCGACAATATGGACACCAATTACGTCTCGCTTTATCGATGAAGCATGCTCCAATGCCAGCTAAAAAATTTGACGAAATCGCGATATTTTGCTTTTAACTGATCAATACGAATTTGAAGGTTAAGAAAGAGAGAGATCTCGCGAACCTATGCAAGTAAAGAGGGCACCACGGCGCACTGATCGTTTAAAGAAACACGAGCAACCGTCGCAACAGTAAACTCCGTAATGTTTGCCATAGGATCGGTCGCCGCAAACTTTGCAAGCAACCGTTGTCGGTAACGTTCTTCCTGTCTCGATAAAAAATCAAATTAATCGAATCTGTCGAACGTCGATTCACAAGTAAAAAACTTACCCATCGTTCTGTTACAAGATGAGAAAAATAAAAGGTGAAATTGATATCAAAGATAAATAATAGATTCAAGGATTTAATGATCACTGATATCACTCGATGATGTTGTAATCGATGATTCTTAAACAAGGAAAAGGGAGACGCGAGAACGAATTCGATCGAACTCGATTCGTCACCGAGGACGGTTATGGTTAGACTGATCATAAGGGAGGGGTGTTCGCGTCAACTTGGTCGTCAGACCGCGAAAAAACAATATTTACCGAGCATCAATGTGGAGAAATCGTTTGCGACAGGTTTGAGAGTAGGAGGGTAGTCAAAGCATTGAAGGATGTCCGACAAACGACAAGGCGAGGTCGAAAGCTGTGTTCTCTTTATTGCGCGTCGGAAAACTAATCATACAGGAACTGTACAAAAAAGCTGACATTTCTTCAAAGCGAGTTTGTCGTTTGCGTACCTTAGATTCGCCGCGTTCCTTTCGACACGCCTTTGGAACTAGTCTACCGTGGAAATCTACCGTGATTCGTGATTTGCGAATTATATTTACAATCGAGTATCTTTTATACGCGAATACACTAGTATTTCGTCCGACGTATATAAATACGTGTTTCAACGATCGCACGAGAAAACGTGTGATTACGATCATGATCGTGAAATACATACGCGTCGCGTCCCCTCGAGAAGGCGAATCGATTAAGATCGATCGATACTTGAGCGGTCACTGCGATAATATTCAAAATGGCGGCGAGTCGTCGACGAACAATGAACGAAAAACATAAACATCGTATATCGGCGTATTTTTCCCGCGCGTTCGTCGATCGGTCGTTACGATTTGTAGTGGTGCAACAACGAACGACAACAGAGTTAAGTGACGAAACGAAAATAGCGACGACAAATGTAAACGAAGAAAAACCGCGTATTAATCGAATTTCGCTGATTTTGTCTCGTTTTTTTTTTTTTTTTGCGATTGTCGCGTCGCGAAAACAATGAGATGAAATTACGTGGATGCCAACAACTTGGCAGCCGCAGTAACGTGATGCTGATGATGGTAAGGTGCTTCTTGACTCCCGTAATAGGTCTGTTGCTGATGCTCGCTGCTCGATACCCCAAGTTGATGCGGATGCTGATAATACGAAGAATAGGGTTGACCAACAATGCCATCACAACTTCGAGGTTCCGTTTTGACGGTGGCCACGCTTCCTGTCGCTAAAAGAGACGTGTGCCCGAGGTAAACCGGTCTCTCTGATGAGCTCGAGCCACCACCGGCGGACGATTTGGACACCTCGATCTGATGTTGTTGCTGTTGTTGTTGCTGCTGCTGCTGTTGTTGCTGTTGTTGGTTACCCTTTAATTCTGAATCACATAAAGAGATCGATACGCATAATTATGGATTATATCGAAATTTATATTTCGAATTCAGTGTTGGTGCAAAATGAACAAGGCCGATTTACATTGACAGAATAATCAATGTTATTGGATCATGTATGCATATTATCTATAATTTATTTATATATACAATTTTATATAGATAAAAGAAGGAATTAAAAAATAGCCTTTTTTTGACTATTGTCTGAAAATGAAAAATTCATGAATTTTTAAAAATGCTCCTCAAAAGACAAAAAATATTTTATTTTTTTGAAGAAAGGAAAGTTGTTAAAATGCGAATAGTGTAGGAATTGAACTCATTTAAACATTATTTCTTTTTCTTTTTTCAATATATTGAAATTTTTAAAATAATTAATAAAAAAATAAATTGATAAATCGAGTGAATCAGACAAAATTACTATATAAAATCATTGTTATTTGTAAAGAAGCAACCAGTAATAATGCATGTATCAACAGATTTGCATCAGAAAAAAGACGTATTGACTATCGTGAATTCAATTATTTAGAATTAATAGTATTAAGGTATAATAATTAAAAAATAGTATAAAATACTATATAAATAAAAATGGTAATTTTGAATTTCAAAATGCAACATCACCATATATAATTGATTATCAAAATTATAAAATTGATATAGAATGAAATAATAGCATTAAAAACGAAATTTTTGACAGATTCTAATAACTTAAAATATTTTGTGCGTTTCTTAATTGGCAAAAATTAAGGAAGGGAAACTGTTTTTGCACATACATATAAATGTAAAGTCAATGCTCGCATATTAGTTGCTGTTCACATATGACAATGATATTTTGATTCTGTTCTTAAATTGATTCACCTGTCAATTTCTTCATTAATTACTTCCAAGATTATTATTCAGTATTAAAAAAAAAAAAGAAAAGAATAACGTTTAAAACAAATTCAATCTTTAGATTTATTTTTACAATTTTTTCAACATTTCTTTAAAAAGTAATAAGAACATTTTTTGTTTCTTGGAAGACACTATTAAAGATTCTGCATGAATTCTTCATATAACAAAAATGATCATTTTTAAATGTTCTTTTTTGGGTTAATACATATCCATACATTGTTCATTGTTGGAAAGAATTTCCTGTAGAAAAAAATATCGGTTTGATTGATCAGAATGATTTATTTTTATTTCAACATGTATTTTTATTTCAACATGTTATTTGTCAGCATAAGTACACATATTAATCCCATTATGCAATAGAGAAGAACAACAAGATCTATTAAAATAATGAGATGCAATCTTACTAATGATTTCATAATTGAAAATAATTACATCTCATTTATATTAATAAAATTCCTCTATTGTAACTTACTTTTTGATTGACTATTCAAAGAAAATATCCTATAAAGAATGATATCAGAATTTAAAATAATTTTGAAGAACAAGTAAAGAGTAAGAATAAACGATTCCAAGCAAAAAACACCCTTTTCCGAGATTTCTTTTCAACAGTGAACACTATTTGCTCAGTATTTTCATATTTCATAATCCATCAAAAAACTCAATTCAATTTCAGCATAAATCCAGCCTTATTTGCTTTCATCTTTGTTAAAAATCTAGATTCCATAGTCCCATTCACATTATATTTAAAAAGCATGGATAATCAATTTTCAACAATCAAAATTCCAAAACCCAGGATGCAAGACAATCCAAATATATCACAATTTTAATGATGAAGTTAGGAATGAAATACTTCACTTCAATAATTTATTGAATCGAAGCATGCAATAATTCCAAAATATAGCTCTGAGAAAGAAAATAAAATCGATTATAATTAATTATAAAAATATTATTGGAACAATTTTAAATAAACTTAACCTACTTATTTATTACTCTACCTGAAATTTTAATTTTTATTACTTATCACTATTATTCATCACTCTACTTTAAATTTTAATTTTTCAGTTGGACCGCCGAGAAGGAGGAAAAAGGAAGAATAGTTTCCTCGCTTACCCGTGGAGGGAGAAGAAGCGGTTGAAACGGCGGTGGTCTCGTGCTCGACGGCGGAGGACCTCGCGTTCGGCTCGGGCGTCTTCTTCGGTTTACGTTTTCGCGTCTGGATCCCGTCCTTGCGCATCGCCAGTGGTCTGTTCACACCGTGCAGCTTGAAGTAAAGGCCGCAAGCGTTGCAAACGGGCTCGCCCTCGTTGTTGCGCCTCCAAAGGGTCGTGGTTCGGGTGCCGCAGTTCGTGCAGCAAAGCCCTAACCGCCTGGTCGCGGTCTGAAATTATTCAAAATATTCCCCTCTCGTCTCGATGAAGCGTGAATTCGAGCGATTCCAGTGACTTACCAGCCGCTTGGACGGTTTTATCAGGGGTCTGTTCATCCCGTTCATCTTGTGGTAGAGTCCGCACGCGTTGCACAGATAATGCCCGGTGCCGTCCCTCCTCCAAAGCGGTGTCGATATTGCGCCGCAATTAACGCACTCCCTGCCTTCCCCGAATTGAAAATCCATCGCGGTATCTGGAAGAAAATAGGAGAAATTCCGTTTCAACTTATAGAGAAATAATATCCTCGAATTTCTTTCTTTCTTCTTGCTCATACAATTTTGATCTTAACAACCAGGTATGTACGTATTTATTTCCCATGATAAATGATTGTTAAATTAAATTGATCTCTAAATAATTACGATATTAATTTTCATTCTAATTCTCAATAAAGAAAGAAAGAAAAAGAAAATCGAGTCAGTTTGATTTGCTTCTCGTTGTAAAAAATTGATTATATTCATTTATCCAATTACTAAATGTACAAAAGATAAAATATATATTCTTCGTTATATTCTTCAGTGTATAATATCGTATGTAATAACGAGGTTAATTTAAGTTGAGAATTAAATTAATTTGCAAATTTATATTGTAATTATTATGCATGCAGAGGCTCGGCAACGGGAGCGATTGGTGAGGATTTTAAGGTACTTTTATTAGACGTCGAGGAGCAGCGGAGAAACGGCGCTCTCGTACGCGGTCTCGCCGAGGAAGGGTACATTAAACGCCACGTACCGCGTGCATCGTCGCGGCGGAAGAAGAAGAGTAACACTCGACCGCGGGAATTCGTTTGAAAGAAGCCGCTATCGCTTATTCGACGCAGATGGCCCACCACCAGCAGACGTCGTCGCCGCAGCCGCGGTCGCCGGCGTCGTCGTCGACGATGGGTGCACGTTCCTCGCCAAGGAGGGAGATCTCTCTATTTTTTCCCCCCTCCCCCACCCCTCTTATCGAGCACGCATCCGTCGCACTCGGACTTTTCCTGTGCTCAGGTCAGGTCTGGTTAACGTCCATCGAGAACGTCTTTTCTTACCCCGTCCTCCTCCTCCTCCTCCTCCTCCTCCTCCTTCTCATCCTCTTTCTTCTCATCGTGGTTCAACCACAGCGATATGTTTGGTGGAGGAAGATGGACGGCGAAGGTAGGAGGAAGGTGCATCGATGAGTAAGTTACTTACACCGCCCTCGAGAAAATTTTAAATTTCTTCTTCTTTATTCTTCTTTTTTAAACTTCTTCTTCTTTATTCTTTATTCTTCTTTTTTTGTTTTTTTTTTTTTCGCAGGAGGAAAAATGAATCGAATTGGATTCTAGATCGTATCTGAAGAGATGTAATCTAGAATAGTGTAGGGAGGAAATTTTGAGAAATCGATGAAAAAGAGATATGGTGGAGTGATTCGAGGTAATGACGATATTGACGAGAAGGATTTTCTATTTCTTGGATCTCTGTGGAGATATTTCTTATTCTATGGCGGTGATCTATGGCGGTTATGAAATTTTCCAAAAAAAATGTGGAAAAATGTGAAGGATATTTTCCTCGTCTATCTTTATGATCACTCGCGTACAAGTGTTTGACACAAGTGTATGTATGTATAATCATTTTATCATTTCGTTGCATTTTTCGCCATTCTTACAATCTTTAGTGCCGCGTTGAATATTTCAAGAGATAAAAGACAAAGAAATTTTGAACGTAGCTTCAAAGTAAATAGCTGAAAAATGCAAAGTATCTTGAAAAATAAAAATAAATAGAAGACGATCGTATCTTGATGAAAAATGAAAATATGTGGAGGATGGAATAATAAATGGAGAATAAAATACTAATCATAAGGGCAGGCATGTTGAACAATTGAAACTTTGTACATGACTTCAAATATGTAATTGAAAAATGCAACATATCTTGAAAAAATGAAAATATTTGAGTCCTAAAGGAGGGTATAATAAATAGAGAAATAGAGGGAATAGAAATAGAGGGTATAATAAATAGAGTATAATAAATAGAGAATAAAATATCAATCATAAGGCATGTTGAACAATTGGAACTTTGTACATGACTTCAAATAATAATATATAATAAGTTTAATTGAAAAATGCAACATATCTTGAAGAAATGAAAATATTTGAGTCCTAAAAGAGGGTAGTATAATAAATAAAGAACAAAATATTAATCATAAGGGCAGGTATGTTGAACAATTGGAATTTTGTACATGACTTCAAATATATAATTGAAAAATGCAACATATCTTCAAAAAATGAAAATATTTGAGTCCTAAAGGAAGGTAGTATAATAAATAGAGAATAAAATATCAATCATAAGGGCATGTTGAACTTTGTACATGACTTCAAATATATAATTGAAAAATGCAACATATCTTGAAGAAATGAAAATATTTGAGTCCTAAAGGAAGGTAGTATAATAAATAGAGAATAAAATACTAATCATACTAAGGGCAGATATGTTGAACAATTGGAACTTTGTACATGACTTCAAATATGTAATTGAAAAATGCAACATATCTTGAAGAAATGAAAATACTTGAATCCTAAAGAAGGGTAGTATAATAAATAAAGAACAAAATATCAATCATAAGGGCAGGTATGTTGAACAATTGGAATTTTGTACATGACTTCAAATAAGTTTAATTGAAAAATGCAACATATCTTGAAGAAATGAAAATATTTGAGTCCTAAAGAAAGATAGTATAATAAATGGAGAATAAAATACTAATCACAAGAAGAGATTTAATAACCAAAACTTTGGACATAACTTTAAGTACGTAATTAAAAAAAATACAAGGTATTTTGAAAAATAAAAATAAATACAATGGTCGAATGCTAAGGAGAATTGCATGATAAGGAAAGAATAAAATAAAAGAATTATAAGACAGATTGAACAACTTTGAATATAATTTTAACTATATAATTAAAAAGTGCAACTTATCTTGACACATGAAAAATAGAGAATAATATCATAGACAGAGAATAAAATAAGAAAAAGAGAGGAGGCACGTTGAACAATTGAAACTTTGAATATGTAATTGAATTATACAATATATCTTGAAAAATAAGTAAATTATTTGAATCCTAAGAGTAGCATAATAAATAAACAATATCAATAATAATAAAATACCAATCATAAGGACAGACACATTGAAAAATTGGAACTTTGAACAGACAACTTCAAATATATAATTGAAAAATACAATGTATCTTGAAAAATGAAAATAAGTAGAAGGCTTGAACAATAGAATGATAAATAGACAATAAAATAGAAATCATAAAAGTAAGTTGAACAATTGAAACTTAAATTGAACTTTATACTTGACATATATGATTGAAAAATGCAATATATCTTGACAAGTGAAAATACAAAGTACTTTAAAAAAGAATAGTAGATAGAGAATAAAATACGAACCATAAGAAGAAGCAGAGAAGTTGAAAAATGCAACGTATCTTAAAAAAGAAAAAGAAGTAAAATGCTTGAAAAGAGTACATGACAAATAGATAATAAAATATAAATCATAAGAGAAGGCATGTTGAAAATAATTTATAGTATAGATAAAGTAATTGAAAAATGCAATGTATTTTGAAAATACATAAAATACTTGAACTCTAAGAAGAATAGCATGCTAAATGAAGAATAAAATACAAACCATAAAAATATGTTAAACAACTGAAACTTTGAATTTTATATATAGTTGAAAAATGCAACATATTTTAATGAATGAAAATACAAAATATATACTTCAAAGAAGGATAATAGATAGAAGAGACAGTGAAGTTAAAAAATGCAACGTATCTTAAAAAATAAATATAAGTAAAACACCTGAACTTTTTAAGAAGAGTAACATAAAAATAGACAATAAAATACAAAGGGGAGACTTTAACTTATACTATATATAAAACTTCAATTATATGATTGAAAAAATGCAGCATATTTTAAAAAATGAAAATACACAGAGTAGAATAATAGAACTGGAATTTTGAACACATAACTTCAAATATATAATTGAAAAATACAATGTATCTTAAAAAATGAAAATAAGTAGAAGGTTTGAACAATGGAATGATAAATAGACGATAAAATAGAAACCATAAAAGTAAATTGAACAATCGAAACTTAAATTGAACTTTATACTTGACATATATTGAAAAACATATCATAGCAAATGAAAATACAAAATATATACTTCAAAGAAGGATAATAAATAGAAGAGACAGTGAAGTTGAAAAATGCAATGTATCTTAAAAAATGAAAATACAGAGATTAAGATAATAGAACTGAAATTTTGAACACACAACTTCAAATATATAATTAAAAAATGCAACGTATCTTGAAAAATGAAAATAAGTAGAAGGCTTGAACAATAGAATGATAAATGGATACAATAATACAATATAAAACAAATACAAAATAAAAACCATAAAAATAAATTGATTTGAACAATTGAAACTTAAATTGAACTTTATACTTGACATATATAGTTGAAAAACATATCTTAACAAATAAAAATATAAAATATATACTTCAAAAAAGGATAATAGATAGAACAGACAGTGAAGTTGAAAAATGCAACGTATCTTAAAAAATAAAAATAAATAGAATACCTGAATTTTTTAAGAAGAATAACATGATAAATAGATAATAAAATATAAACCATAAGGAGACACTTATATTATATATATATAAAACTTCAATTATATGATTGAAAAAATACCACTTATTTTAAGAAATGAAAATACACAGAGACTAGGATAATGGAACATAAAATACGAACCATAAGTGGAGGCACGTTGAACATAACTTTGAACACCACGTAATCGAAAAATGCTTATACGTATTTTGAAAAATGAAAATGAAAATACGCGGATAATAACAGGGAATAAAAAATACGAACCATAAGGGGAGGCACGTTGAAATCCGGCTCCGTCGTAGGCACGCCAGGAGGACATCATGGCGACGTTTTGCGCGTAAAAGGGGGCGGCCGCGGCCGCGGCGAGGCTCGAGTGAGGGTGGCCGGTATGCGGATGGGCCGCGTGCGGGTGCGTGTGTGGGTGCGGGTGCGTGTGGCCCGAGTGCGGGCCCATCGCGGCAGCGGCGGCAGCGGCCGCGGCCGCGGACCCGCTTGCGTGCCCCGCGAGCGCGTGATGGGCCGCGTACGTTTCCACCCCATGCTGCCACGAGGCCGCCGCTGCAGCAGTCTTCTCCCTTCCAACCAAATTTCGAGTTAATTATTGAAACGAATCGATCGAGGAATGCGGGGATGTAGCACCGGTGATCGATCGAAATTATTAAAACTTGGTTCAGGTGGATTGATATTCATGCTTGTGAATGATAAAGGTACATTGAATTTATATATAAGCGTTCGTTACAGAATTGATTGTCGTCATTGAGAATAGTAATAAAATTAAGGAATTAATTGAAAAATAAAATTAAGTAGTAAAGTTTATTTAAAATATTGAGTTATTTGAGACGTTCATAATTTTGACTTTGAGAATTAATTCTAATGGTTATTATTATTTTGAATAGTAAATTATCGAGATAACTTTATTTCTCTTAACTTCGATCTTTAAAATTTTCTACATCTCTATGGATATATCGAGGCGGAGATAGAACGACAAGCAGCATTGACTGGCGTAGCCTCCTTGATAAAAAGAATTTTGTTTATTTACAATTATTGACAGTTTAATTAAAAGACTACGCCAATGCTGTGAAATCATTCGATTTCATTATGTCATGACTTTTGTTTTATCTATAACGAATACCGATAGCAAGAACAGAGCGAGAATGCACATCTTCCGTGACTAGGCAACCTACAGTTTACAGAAATTCGGGAATTGTATCTCGATGACTTCGAAAAAAAAAAAAAAATTATTCCACGCAGTGGAAATCGATTTCGATTATCGAGATACAAATTCTCGAAATTCCACCACCCTCCTCCCCAAATTCCATCATCTCGATCGATCACCACTTTCGTGCCATTCTCGTTTCTCATCGAGATAACCGAGACGTCACTTACCAAGCAGGCGAGCCAGAGCCGGGGAAGGAATGGTACTGGGCCGCGGCCGCGGCCGCCGCCGCTGTGGCCGCGGACGGGATCGTAGGCCTCGAGGACGGCACGTAGACGGGCGCTTGAAGTTGTTGGCCGTGTTGCTGTTGCTGCTGTTGTTGCGACTGCTGTTGGTAGTCGGAGCTAGCGCCGTACCCGCTACTTCCGCCCCCGTGAAACATCCTCCCCGAGAGCTAACACCACGGCATCTGTTCGAACAGAGGAAAGAGAAACTCGCGGTTACTCGAGCACGGCGGGTGTTTTGCGCGCGCTTGTTTGCGCCGTCCAGCCACCCCGGGTGGTGCGACGAGGATGGAAGGTCGCGAGGTTCGCCATAGCGGCGGCCACGCGAAGAAGGAAAAGAAAAATAGGGAGAAAGAAGAGAGAGAGAGAGAGAGAAGGAGAGGGAAAGAGGGGAGAAGGACTCCGACGAAGGAAGGTTCCCTTCGGGCGGGACGTTGGGCAGGGAGGCAGGAGGCGAAGGGCAGAGGGGCGGAGGAGTGAGGGAGGGGGCGAGGGTGCGAGAAGGGGAGGCACGGAAGGAAGGAAGACCGTGGATTCTAGAGGAAGGTCGTCAAAGATCGGAGAGGAGGAGAGAGACAGAGAGAGAGAGAGAGAGAGAGAGAGAAACGAAAGGGGATGGAGAAGAGGGAGAGCGAGACAGAGAGCGCAGCCGCGTCTCCACCTTCGAGGCGCGACTCCGCATCGAGCGGTAGAATCGGAGATACAGGATAGCGGCCATCGCAGCCACGAATAAGATCCCGTGTAGGCGGGACCAAAGCTCCACCGCTTTCGCGTCTACGCGGTTCCGCGAACGCGTCCTCTTCCTCGAGATCGGGATTCCTCGGTCGGATCCACCATCTCTGTGTCATCCGATTTCCCGATTTTAGATTCTATCGTAATATATACGATACTACTTAATGATCATCAAGTAGAAAGAAATAACGACGAGTGATTTTAAGAGATTTATCTATAATACGGGGAGATAGAAATAGAGTGGAGAGTGTCAAATTTATATCTCTTCGTTTTTTTCATCAGATTCGTTGGAAATTGATTAATGATTTTCGAAGACGAAATTATCGAGAACATGAATCATATCGATAAATATGCGATACATATCGCAAAGTAACGCAAAACGCGCGTTTATGCTTCGTATATATATATATATATATATATATATATATATCGACGCTGCGAGAAATCGACGGTTCATCACGGGCGACGGTTCATCAATGATTTCAGAAAGGATTTCACGCGAACGATAGTCGAGACTAACGAGTTTCCTGAGCGAGCTGTCTAATGCGAAGGATTCGCGGTAAAGGGCTTTAATGGGAACCGGTTAGAAGTTTAATCGTGTTTTGGACGGTGGACCGGCGGTTAGAGCGGCGGCGGGACAAGCAAGCATCTGGCGCCAGGCCGAAGTTCGCGTTTCAAAGGCGAGAGGGATCGCGAGATCGAAGAGGAAGCAGCTATCGTGACTATCGCGGCCGCGCAGTTCAGACGATTGACATGGATGCGCGCGTCCTCGAGAGAATCGTTAAAAAGGAGCGTGAAAGACTGGAGCGTGAAAAAGGTTGGAAAGGACCGGCCACTCGGCCGACTCATCGATACGAAGCGACGCTAATGGGAATAACGTTCTCTTCGTCCATCGTTGTCGCGCTCTTTTCTTTTTTTTCCCAAGCCGGACTCGTCTCATCCCGGCTCCACTCAGCTTTGCTCACTTCTATTTCCCCCTCCTCTCGCTCCTTTTTCGTTTCTTCGGTCGTCAGCCTTCGAACTAGAGACGAAACGAAACGAAACGAAACGAAAGTGAATACATATGTATATAAATGTACAGGGATTCTCTACGAGACTGATTAATCGTTTCGAATCGTCTACTGGTTCTCCCTCCAACTCGAGCTTCCGTTCCGTACGAAACCTTTCTCTTTATTTAATTTAAAAGAATCGTCGTTTGACGGACAAGTGTGAACAGAGGCGAGAGTCGAGTCGAGCCGAGTCGAGTCGATTCGATTCGCGATGAGTCGATTCCATTCGATACTAATCGGATCGAGTCAAAGTCCATTCCGCCGCTAGTGTCGCCGGATGGGCCGATCGTTGGATGGCCGAGGCGCCACGGCGCCGACCGCGTAGAAGGGTTTTCTTGTAGCCCGGTCGTAGCCCGGTCGTAGCAAACCGACTCACACTCTCGCACGCTCCCGTCTCGGCATCTGTCTCTTTTCATTCCTTCCTCTCGTCGCGTCGGTCACTTTGTTCTTCCGATATTCGCGGCTACGGGATTCCTATTCGATCAACCGTATTTATCATTTCCGTGATTCCGTCTTAGTTTTCTTATATTCAAAATACGCCTTTCTTTCTCTCCTTCTATTATTCATACAGTATTGTACACTTAAGTGACTTGTGCGAATTCAATTATAAAAGAAACAAGAAGAGATGAGTGTGAGTGAGGTATATGTGCACGTGTGTTGATACGTTGCCCAACAATTAACGATTGGTGTCAAGTTTCATTCGGTACGCTCGAAGCTTCCATTTCCAAGAGTTGGTGGGGATAATGACGGATATTTAAGCAAGCATACCATACCGTATTATAATCTCTATTTCTCTTCTATTTTCCTTTTTTGCTTTTTCGGATGATCACTTTACGTTTTCAACTTTCCTATGGTGAGAATAAATTAACGATCGATTTCGTGACGTCTCTCACCGTTATTTAAATCGTCGTCAATTATTATCATTATTCAAGCATCTAATTTAAAGTAAGTATAGGACATCTTATTAAACTACAAATAGATGTTTTCTTTTCGCTCTCGTCTATCTTGTCAAGTTTACCAAAGAGCGGAAGGAACGATCCAGTGTGAACGGCCCTTTCGGTAACCTGATACCGAAGATGCAAACTCGAGATAAGATTCCTCGGAAATTGCGCTCCAGTCCAGTTTCGGCACGCGCCTCTCTCATCTCCCCGTCCTTCCACGGCGTGGTTCCATTGACAGGCACGCGAGCTTATCTGCACTTTGGAATCTCTACGAGATTCACTACGCTTCCGACTTCTTTTCTTCGTCGCTCTTTCGCGATCATCAAACGTAACGTCGCTGCGCATCTCGATGTGGGAACGCGATCAATTATTTTTAACGTACAGGTTATGTTATATAACGGTTGTTGGCGTAAATACTGGCGTAAATAATAACGCATAAATTCATTTATTCGTTTACGAGTGCTTACGCCTCGACGAGCGTGACGCCGAGGCTGAAAAAAAAATGTTACGACGAGGAAGATGATATTTGAAGGAAGAAGAAGGAAGAAAGAGACAAGGTGTCGGTGTCTGTGCGTGTTGGAAGCGTGTGCGTTAGTGAGAACGTCTGATGAGACAAACGGACCTGAAAAATCGAAAAAAGGAAAAAGAAGGATGGATTCGTACCTGACTGTGAGAATTTTTGCTATCTGATCTTTAAATTTCCTCTGTTTCTATGGAAAAATTGAAATAAATGTTGCGAAAGAGTAGAAGGCTAATGATGTACTTAAGTGGTTTGTTATAATTTATCGTCGCGTTTCAGAAAATTATTTCCATAAGTATCAAGTATATTTTTTAAAAATATTACGAGAAATGTAATTTATTTTATTTTCATTAATGAAAGAGTTAAGAAGTTTCGTTGGAAAGGAACGTATCCATGAACTAATGCAATCAACTTTCTATCGATCTATCTTCTGTTCCTTGGGAATGATAGTTTGGAATAAATAAAAATCGATATCAAAAATAAATTTTTTTAAAAAGAATGATCGAATCGATAAAAAAAAAAATATTAATCGGGAATAAATCGAAAGAAAAAAAAACTATCGGAAAATATTTCGATCGAAGAAAGAATCGATTGAGGGGAATTCGATCTATCGAAAAGAATTCGATAAAAAGAAAAGATTCGATCAAAGAAAGAAATTTTCTAAAAGGATTCGAGCGAAGAAAGAATCGATTGAAAAGAATTCGATCGAAGAGATGATCGATCGAGAATATTTCGATGTATCGCGTATCGAAGCGACGGCCGATGCGCAAACCAATCACTTTTATATCGACGAACTTCGTTTACCGACGCTTAGAAACTATTTAAAGAATTTCTTATGCTCGCTTATCGGCAGTAATTAGGCTCATTGCGATGTTCGGAAGTGGCGACGGAGGCGGACGCGAAAAACAAGTGTCTTCTCGTTTCGAGTTTATTAAAAACGGTGAAACGGTCGAGAAAATAGGTCGTTGCAAGTGGCCGAGCTCGTTTAATGGCTCACACGTACGCTCGTGTCCCGGATGCACCTATCTTTTAGTATCTTCGCTCTTCGCGTTTCGAATCGAGTTTTTCCTACCAAGTTAGTTAGTTTATTGCCAGATTCCTTCGAAATCGCGGCCGGTTGTTAGTGGTGGCCAGCGATACGAACGAAGAGTTATCGACAAAGCGGTGAAGTTGCACCTTAACGATTAGCTTTGGGTTAAGAGTAAGCGTAAAAGTTCGCTTGGAGACAACTGACGACCCTTGGAGTGGAAAAAATGTTGCATAACTTGTCACGCGCGGTTCAAATGTGGTTAAAAAAAATAAGTGTCGCGTTGTTATTTCGAAGATTAATGTTTTTCTAACCTTCTCGAGTTGCAACTCTCTTTCCTAATATTCCAATAATTCTCAATAATTTATGACCGTCTTCCTCGTACAAGGTAAGCAAAATCGAAGAGGGCGACACTGTTTTATCATTTGCAGCATTGCCTTTTTCAAATATCTTTAGATAATCGATAGCAATAATAATAATTAAAAAACACTGACTCATCAACACTCGGACAGATTGGGAACCACTGATCTAAACCAAGCCGGAATTTTCCAATTTCAATTACTTTTAAGAATCTTTCAGCCAACATTCTCAAGTAAATATACTTTTTTTTCTTCTTTATTTCTTTTTTTTTTTTTTTTTTAAATAACGATCCCTATACGACCGTCTCCACGAAGCGAACGAGATCTCGATCTCGCGCGCATACGAAATAACGAAGGCGAGCTCGTAAATATCAGAAGCGACGACCGTACACCCGCGTTTCCACGCGTATGCACGATCCCGCGCGTATACGCGCAAATCCAACCAACGAATCTCTTCCGTTTGCCTCTTAATCGAGGAACACCGATTTCAATCGACTAGAATCCGAATCGAGTTTCTTCTCTTACCACGCAACTCTTGCGATTCTTGTTTCTTATGA